GGGGTCATATGTGGAGTGTTTGTGACTTTACAGAACCGGCCAGGCCTCCTGCAGAGCGGCTCAGCCGTCCCACGTTCTTACCAGCCGTGTAGGGCTGTGCCTGTGCCCTTCCTCCCCGGCCCTTGGTGATGCTGATGTACTTGGTCCAGCCGTTCTGGCGGACGTGGATGGCTGCTCTCGGGGGTCAACTTGTATTCCCGCCTGGCCGACAACACGCAGCATCTTTTCAGTGCCGAGCTCCGTCTGTGACTCTGCCTCTCTCATGAATCTGGGCTGTTTTCTTCTGTTCCGTGTTGAGAGCTCTTTACAGTTTTGGATGCAGGTCCTCATCAGATGTGGGCTCTGCTGACATTCTCCCCCAGCCTGTGGTTATCTTGTCTTACCTTCTTTTGCAGAATGGAGGTGTTCCGCTTTGGTGGGGTCCACGGTATCAGTTACTTCTGTTATCCCAAGAGTGTTTCTTCTGAAAGGTTCTTGTTTGGTGTTGGGTGTGAGATCCACTTTTGTGCCTTCTGGGCTGGTGCGAGGTCCAGTGGAGGGCAGCTTTGGTTTGGTTTGCACATGGCTGGCCAGTTGCTCAGCACCGATTGTTGAGGGGTCTGTCACTACCACAACTGAGTGACTTGTGCCCCTGGGTGGAAACCCAGCTAAGCACCCCATGGAGCCTACTTGAGGGCCTCTGTTCTGTGCCGTGGAGCCGCGTGTCTGTCCTTGCACCAGCACCGCGTGGCCTTGATTACTATCGCTGCACAGGGAGTCTTAAAACCAGAGTGTGAGTCAGCGCTTTCCCATCAATTTGGGTTTATGTTGTCTATTTCTCTATAATTAAGAACTAGGGCTTCATTTTCCTATTCTGCATCTTCAGGGATGGTGTATACTCTGTGGGGCCAGGCTTGCTTCCTCCTCCCTCCCCTGCCCCAGGGTTCTCAGGACCTTTACCAGGGTGGCCAGCACCGATGGCAGCCAGGACAGCGGCTAGGATTTCTTGGTGGGGGCTCCTGGGATGGGGGCTGCCCATGCTGCCTGTCGTTGGGTCCCCAAGGATGTCTCATGCATGGGAGGCTGGAACTGGACCAGTCTGGGGCCTCCTGCTGGGCAGAGTCCATGCATTGGCCTGGTGCGCTGGACTGCAGAGGGCCTGTGGGGGGCCAGGGCTCCCGTCCACCTGCACCCCTCATTCTTCCATTCGTCCTTTTTTCTGGTGCTGGAGATTGAACCTGGAGCCTCACGTGGGCTAAGCACATGTTCTACCACAGAGCAACACCCAGGCCCCTCTTTTCCTCCTTTTTAAAGTGTTTCTGTTGTGCTAAGATGCGCAGACTGTCAGGCGGACTGTGACAGTCGTCTTACGTGCACTGCGGCATGGAGCACGTCCTCAGGGCTGTGCAGCCATCGCCCCTCAGTCCACAGCACATCCGTCCCCATTGCACAGACCCCCACCCTGCCCCCACACCCACCTGTCTCCAGGAGTCAGGTGACTCTGGGACCCACACAGGTGCAGTCCCATAGGCTTTGTCCTTGGGTGTCAGCTGATGTCCCTCAGCTCCAGGTCCCCAGGGTTCCTTTCCTTCACCATATGTTGGGTCCCTGTGGTGCCAGTCACTCAGGCTGGGAGTTGTGGGGCCTTGGAGGCTCGACAGGGCCCCTTGATCCCGAGTCAGGAGCCCAGAGGAGCCCCCATGTGTTGGTGCAGCCACATACCCAGAGGGAGGTTTCGCCCACCCTCCTGGCTGGCGCCCCGTCTGCCCAGCTGAGCAGCTGCTCCAGGTCTCTCCCTTGTGACCGCTGTGTGGAGGGCACTCGATCGCCTCTCTGTACACACAGCTGGTGGCCCCTCCTTGCAGTGCAGTCCTGGAGACCACAGTTTGGTCCACAGGCCCTTGATGGTGAAGGCAGCAGCTCCTCTTGGGGACCCCACTAGTCCTGGGGGCCTCCTGGTACCTGAGACCCAGGTRCAGAGACCTGGTGTGACCTGTAGCGTCCCTGCCCTGCTCACGGCCCACCCAGGTCCTCCTGTGGGGTTGCAGGGACAAGCTGCCCAGCTCTCCTCTGAACACATCTCCAGTGCTCCTTTAACACCCTGCGAGCAGTTCAGCTCTCCACTCTCCAGGTGGTGACTGCAGCCCCTCAGGTTGGTGATCGGAGGCCTGGGGAAGGGGTGGGGTGCAGAAGAAGTTCAGACACCTTTGCAGATGAGCTGCAACTCAGTTCAGGGTATTTTTAGCCACGGCAGCATCCGACACTCGGCAAAGCAGAAATAGAAGCGGTTTTTCGGGTGTTCTGGTGCTGACAGGCTCTGGCTCTTGGGGAGCTGGGCTGGGGCTGGGGAGGGGCATGCGAGCTGAGCACAAACAACTTCTGCTGTTGAGAAAAACATCTCGAGGCAGGGGAGTTGTGGATGGGAGCGCTCTATGTAAATGCCACCGCGCAGCTTGGCCGGCTCCTCTGCATGTGTAATCACTGCGGGCTGAGGGGGGCGGGGGGCGGGTAATTATGTTTTAAAATATCACCCAGATTGTTTTCTGTATTCCCTGAGCCCCCAGGGGGTTCCAGGCTGTAAGGATTTTCCGATGCTCCACTAGGTGGAAAGTGCCATCTGACCCTGCTGACCCTGCTGACCCTCCAGCGGCAGGAGGGACTCTGGGTCTACCCCTGCAGCCGGCCACCTTCCTGGCTTCTGTGCTTACTTGGGGTGTCTTTTACCTTTGGGAGATCTCCCCTTTTCCCTGGAATTCAGCCACAGTCAGACTTAAGGTCTCAGCATGCTCATTCTGAGCTTGGGTGGTAGCCACTCCAGAGGGGTCTGAAGCCATGCAGGAACAGGTGGAGGCCCCGGGGACCTGGGAGTCGCATCGGGTGATTCCAGACCCTGGACGTGGACGCTAAGCTGCAAGTGGTCTTGACACCCCACCCACTCCCGCCAGACCCTCGGGACTAGAGCCCATCCCACAGTCTCCCGCAGCTGCTCCCTGTGGTTTTGGGGTGGATGGTGTCACCCTGTTACCCAGGTGTTGGCCYTCAGAGACTGGGTAGCCCTGACTCCTCCCCCTCAGAAGCTTGATGGGACGGTGACTTACAGCTAATTCCTACTGGGGTCCCCCGCTACGCACCCTCCTCGAGCCCTCCACAGCTGCCCCTGCTGAGGTGTTGTCCTGGGGCCCCTGAAGGCGGGTTGTGGTGCGGGGATGGGTGCTGGCTCTGCTGGAGTGACCTGCTCTGATTGTCCGGAGCAGCCTCAGGGCGGGTCCAAGTCCGAGCCACCTGCCTTCGCCCCCAGGACTCTCGAGTCTCAGGGCCAGCGGGTTCTGGGTGTTAAGTACCAGATCCTACAAGCCCCTCCTCCACGGGGGCTTCCGGCTCCACTGAGGGTGACAAGGGAACTGCCACCCTCACTGAGCAAGGACTGTCTCAGTGGCAGGGCCTTTGCCTACCCACGGACCTCCATGGGTCTGGGAGGGATGGTCCTGGGCCTTCACCTGGGGCCTTGCTGCCCAGCCAGGCGTGAGGAGCCTGCCCAGAACAGGACCTCTGACCAGGGTCAGGTGGCTCTCTCAGGACCACCTTGTGTGCTGGGGACATCGGGATGAGTGAGGTGGCATCCTATATGAGCAGGTTGCTGTGTGTGTGGCCTGCCAGGTCTCTGAGTCAGGAACACAAGCCTGGAGGCCATGGTGGCCTGTGGGAACACAGGCTGGTTCTACTGGAGCCCTGCTGACCTGCTACTGGCCCTGGGGGTCAGGGCAGGGGCCGTGGCAAGGCTCCATGGGACGAGGGGCAGCAGAGACATTCAGGGGTGTGTTGGCAGCACTGGGCAGGATTTTGGGRTGGGTGAGGCTGCATCCTTGGCTTTCAGCACTCGGAATACCCAGCAAACGGTAGGTAGATGCGGGTCTTGGTCCAGCCCACGGTGAACCTTGGAGAGGACCCTGCACCCCAGCTGTGGTGTCCTGCTGGAGAACCTGCAGGCCAAGCTGGTCAGGAGGCCTGGGGAGGGCTGGAMACCTGTTCTCAGGGCAGAGCTGATGCTTTTGGCTGGCATCCTGCTTTCTGGGGATGGTGTAGGCACATTCAAGGGCCCTGGGTACCTGGGAGCAGCACTGGGTGATTCCAGACCCTGAAGGAGGTGGGGATGGAGAGGTGTTCAGAATGGAGTCGCCTCCTTGGTTTGCCCATGAAGTCCCAAATGTCCTCCTCTGGGCAGTGCCGAGGGCGCACACTGCAGAGCTGCAGGCCCTAGGTGGCCCCGGGGCCCTGGCTGCCCATCCCGGCAGTGGTCCTGGCAGGAACGTTCCCAGGCAGCAGGAGACTGGAGTTGCCCGCGGTGACACTGCATCTGCCTGACCAGCCCCTCATGCTGACGTGATGTGAGAGGCCATGTCCTCCTCACGTTCGCCAAGTCCCCTGGTCCCCTCACCCATGAAACAGGGCTGCTTGTGCCCCGCTGCCTCTTCCAGGGACCTGGTTGGGGAGATCCTGGGGTCTGCCGCTGCTTGGCACCTGGTTGCAGCCTTGGCCTCTCCCTCCGCCAGCGCTCCTCAGGCAGAGCTGGGCACTCCCCCTGGCTCAGAGGCAGAGGCCCTGCTGCTGCCCCATCTCTAGCCATGGTGCCTCTGGAGGAGCTGTCCTGCCTCCTGCTTCCGGCTCAGGCTCCTCTCTAGCCTCCTGCTTAGCAGAAGCCCTCATTCCCACCTGGCCTGCAGCGCCTGCAGGGGGACACCCCTTGGGAGCTGCCTCCAGCCCTCAGTGTCCTGGTCCTGGTGGGTGTCCCTCACTGACTCCCTCTGCTCATTCGCTCAGGCTTCCTGCAGGGCAGGGCTGAGCCAGCAGAACCTGCTGCCATCAGCAGGCCTGGAGGACGGCTGGAGTGGGTCTGGCTTGGCACAGGCTGGCACAGAGCAGGTCCAATCCCAGCATCGGGGGACATGGTGGGCGGGTGCAGGGCAGCCTAGCCTAGCCTGGCCAGCAGGCACCCACCTGAGCAGGTGATTTCTGTGCTGCAGTGCAAGAGAAGCCAGAGCCGGTGCCACTGGAGAGCCGCTCCTGCGTCCTCATCCGCCGTGACCTTGTGGCGCTGCCCGCCAGCCTCATCAGCCAGATTGGGTACCGCTGCCACCCCAAGCTGTACTCGGAGGGCGACCCTGGGGAGAAGCTGGAGCTGGTGGCAGGTGAGGATGCTCCACCCTGTCTATTGTATGCAAATGTCCTCTCTCCCTTTATTTTTTTCAGAACTATGAACAATGTACTCATCACCAATCAGTCAAAGGAAAAAAAAAAGAACATCTTAAATTTCCTCTAATTTCCTTTTAGAAGAATGTGTCATTAAGAGGAGTTATTCAATTGAATTAATTTAGCATTTTAATTGAATCCCCTGGGCTGGCCGCCTTGCTGATTGGCAGGGCTGCATTCATGGTGTTAATGTAGGTCACAGATTGAACCAAGTCCCAGAGTTACCACTGTCCTTCTCATGTGAGTGCCCACTGCCAGCCTGAGAGGGTGGTGGCCAGAGGTTCCGAGTGGCAGCTCTCCGTGCAGGCTGGAATTCTGCAGGAACAGGGAGCACAGTGGGGTCGGAAGCCCATGTGGGCGCAGGCCTCGCCAGAGCCTCCAGCGCTGGGATGCCTCTGGCCTCCCAGCCCCTTGTAGGATTTTAGGGCTACTCAGCAAAGGGGTATAAAGTCATGGCACTGTCAGTACCCCGGGCCCTTCAGCCATTTTCCGGTCATTTCTTTTCTTGGTTTGCCCATGAAGTCCCAAATGCAGGCTGGATGGGTCCCCAGGTGCCCTCCCCCAGCCCCAGCACCAAGCTGTCCCCCTCCCCCACGGCCTGGTCTGCCTCTCTCTGGCTCCCAGTCACCACCTGCGCTCCGGGTTCTGCCCAGTGGTCCCTTGTCTGGGAAGTGCAGCCTGAGGCAGACCTCACCACTGGGCTGCAGGGGGGCAGCTCTCAGGGACTCCTGGCCTTACCAGAGCCCTACTTCCTGGCTAGTGTGTGGTGGGCAAGAGCTGCTCTGGGGGCTGGGGCACACCACTCCCTGCCCTGCTGTCTCTAACAGCCACAGCTGCTCCAGGGAGAGTGGGTGTCAGGCTGGATGGATCATGAGCACTGGACAGGGTCCCAGGAGGCTTCTGGCCTGGTGTGGTCCCAGGAAGGGGTGCCTTCYGCCCTCCGCCCTCCACCCTCCGGGCAGCCTCTGTTTAAGGTGTGGGGTGCTGGGGCTGGAGAGATGCTCAGGATGGAGTAACCTCCGAGCTGGGCCGGCCCAGGTTCTGACAGGAGGGTCTGTGGCGGGATTGGGGGAGAATTCGGGGCTCCTGGGTGTTGGGCATGTGGACTTCAGGGAGTGGAGCCGTCACAGTTGTTGAGACTGCTGTCCCCAGAACAGATCCCTGGGGAGCTGGGAGGGTTCCTCCAACTGTGCCGGCACCTTTTCCAGGGCCAGAGTTGGTGCTGAGGGCACCTAGCGAGGTTCCCCAGGTGAAAGCAGGTTCCTCCTGGGCCAGAACTGGACGGCCTTGGCTCCTTCCCCTGGGGCACTCAGTCTGGTCCTCAGTGCCCCATTGCAGATCAGATAGTGGAGACCCAAATAAGAGGATACTGACAGAGCCACGGGACCGGCAAGGGCTGATGTGCCCTTCAGGGTTTTCACCCTGCTTTTCCTGCACACCGTGGGGTGGCCAAGTGATTTGGGTAAGCTGCCCTCACATGGCAGTGTCCAGTGTACACATAGCCTCCCCACGGGTCAGGCAGGTTCAGTTCTCTGGAGGTCCTTTGCTCACCAGGCCTTAGGGAGCTCCTGGGTTGTTACAGCATGGGCCTCCCTGGTCACTCTTCTGCCCTGGCTGGATTCTCCTTGATGCACCTGGGGGACATTAGCTGGCCCAGGTGAAGTGCTGTCTATCTCCCCATTTGCTGCCTGGGAAGGGACAGGGCAGAAAGCACACACAGGGACAGAGCCAGCCCCTCAGAGCACATACCCAGGGAAGTGGTCAGGGCTGTGGTGGCTGCGTCCTGCCTTCAGGGCCTCAGCCCACCAGGGAGAGCTGGGAGCTAGGGTGTGTCATCAGGTGGTGTGGACACCGTGACTTTCTCAAGACCTGCTGGGTCCCAGTTGTACATGGTGGCAGGTGGCCTCCATGGAGCCTATCTTAGGGACCAGTGGGTGGGAGCTGAGATGGCTCCTAGCAAAGCAGAAGTCCTGGGGTCCTGGGGTCCTGGGGTCCTGGGGCCCTGGGGCCCTGCTCACCTCTTCTGGCTCTTGAAGGTCATGAGCCTTGGGTTTTGGATCATAAGGCCATGGGTCTAACATGTTGATGTCTGCTGACCACAGGCTCCGGGGTCTATATCACACGTGGCCAGCTCATGAACTGCCACCTCTGTGCAGGGGTGAAGCACAAGGTCTTGCTACGGAGACTCCTGGCCACCTTCTTTGACAGGTAAGTGGGAGGCACCGGGGAGAGCTTCGGAAGGTTCTAGAGTCTCCTGTGGCTGTGATCTGTCTGGTTGTCGTGGGTTTCAGCAGTGGAGGTTCTGTGCATTCCTGACTTCTCAACAGAGCCTGTTAGTGCCAGGACAGGGGAGGCTCCAGGAGGGTGACCAGTCGCCTTGGACCAGGGCTTGGTCTAGGGAGGGGCCAGTGTTTCCCAAATGACTTGTGGTCCCCCCCCAATGAAGTGGAAAGCACTGTACCCATGACACTATGGGCCAGGAGAGCTTCTGCCCCCGTGCCTAGGCCGCTTGCTCAGGTGACCCCGGGGTCCCTGCAGACGAGGTCAGGACCAGCGCATCAGCTTCCTGGCCCAGCTGATCAGTCACTCACTGAGCCCTGGGGTCTTTGCTTTCCCTCTCCCTTAGAGGGAGGCTGGGCCTGCACTCCACATGGACCCGACTCCTGTGACAGCACCCCAGTCCCAGGGGGCCACAGCGAGGGGTGAGGGGGCTCCTCCTTGAGTCCCCTCTGGCCCGGCCGTAACCCGTCCCTTCCCCACCCTTCTGCAGGAACACTCTGGCCAACAGCTGCGGCACAGGTATCCGCTCGTCCACCAGTGACCCGAGCCGCAAGCCACTGGACAGCCGGGTCCTGAATGCTGTGAAGTGTGAGTGGACCCTGGGGTTTCTGGGAGGGTCTCTTGGGAGCTTGGAAGCTCCCTTGGGTTCAGATCCCAGCCCCAGAAGGCTGGGTGGGCAGCGGGTCCTCCACCGCACCCGGCTCTCCCTGAGCGCACCCGGGAGAGAAGGAAAAGAGCAGCACCAGAGCGGGCCCGAGGTGTGAGCGTCCTTGGGAGGTTTCCAAGCATGATGAATTCAGCTGYGGAACTATTTTAATATGTGAAATAGATCTAATTTTCCTTTTTGAACAAAACCCCTTATTTACATGTTGAGGTTATTTTGAGCCTTTGCCATCTGTTCGGCCGGCTTCTGCCTCCCGCTCCTGGGTGGCGGGGCGGAGCCCGGTCCTTCTCTGTGGCAGACACCACCCAGCTCCATGCCCCAGATGGGGAAGGAGCCGCTGCACCAGCGCAGGCAGACTGGCCCAGGGCACAGCCTTCCACAGCCAGTGGCCCAGGAAACATCTCACTTTCTCCAAAAAAATCCCTCTGAGGCTAATTCTGTTTAGCAGAAGGCCCTGTGTAGCAGGAGCCTTGGCAGCCAGTGGTTATAGTCCCAAAGCACAGGGTGACAGCCGGGCCCCAGGAATCTGTGGGGTCAGGGTGTGTCTGATGCTCCCAGCAGAGCTTGTCAGAAGGACCTGCCYTGAGCTTGCTGCTGTTTGGGGGACCTGAGCCTGGCCTTGGTGTGGGRCTCCTGGTGGAGCAAGGAGAGTCTTTCCAAACTGGTGGCGACAGCCGCTGTCCAAGGCTCCTGAGGATGGGGACAGGGAAGGCTCTCGGTGCACTGACTTCTCACTCCGCTAGCCCTGTGAGGAGGGCCCTGCAACAGGTCCCAATTTGCAGGTGGGGAGACCTGGAGAGCTTGAAGGTGTCCAATCTGGGTGGGCAGTGGGGGCTGTCCCACCCCACCAGGCAGAGACTGTCCCCAAGGATCCCATAGGCCTCCTGGACCAACCAGGGAGAATATAGACCACTGCTTCCATGGCTGAGATCAGGAGAGTCTCTGGGGCCACTTGGTCCCCAGCCAGCAGGGACTGAGTCAGGGGATGGTCCCTACAAGTCCCTGCCATGGGACTGGCCGCTGGCCCGTGCAGGGTGTCTTATGCCCCTCCCGCCCCTGCCCCTACAGTGTACTGTCAGAACTTCGCGCCTAGCTTCAAGGAGAGCGAGATGAATGTGATCGCGGCGGACATGTGCACCAACGCTCGCCGCGTCCGCAAGCGCTGGCTGCCCAAGATCAAGTCCATGCTGCCGGAGGGCGTGGAGATGTATCGCACCGTCATGGGCGCCTCGGCTGCCAGCCTGCCCCTGGACCCCGAGTTCCCGCCCGGCGCTGCACAGGTGTTCGAGCAGCGCATCTATGCTGAGCGGCGGAGCGACGCAGCCACCATCGTGGCTCTGAGAACTGATGCTGTGAATGTGGATCTGAGCGCTGCCGCCAACCCTGCCTTCGAAGCCAGCGAGGAGGCTGATGGGGCTGGCTCCGTCATCCAGGAGGTGGCCGCCCCTGAGCCGCTGCCCCCTGATGGCCAGAGCCCCCCGCAGCCCTTTGAGCAGGGCAGCACCAGCTCCAGCAGGCCCCAGACGCCAGCAGCCGCAGCTACAAGAAGGCCGGAGGGCACCTATGCAGGGACTTTGTAAGGGCCCGTGTGGCCACTCACAAGGGACCGAGTACTAGAGCTGCTTGCATGCGTTACTAATACAGACAAATGTGATCAAGCCACTTACCTACTGAACTGCTACTGCTGCCTGACAAAAATGTGATTTTTATTCTGCCTGTATTTAAATGGATGAAGGAAACAAACGCATCGTTATACTGTAAACAGCTAGGCCGCTGGCCATGCTCTGGGAGAAGGGCCCAGGGCTCCTCTGATACCCGCCAGGTCAGTCTCCTATTGTAGCTTTCCCCTCCCACTTCTTGGGGAGSGGGCCAGAGGCCCAGGCCCCCATGCCCAGCCCTGCCCCTGCCTCGCCCACCTTCCTGCTCCTCCTGCCCCAGAAGGGGAAGTTGGGCAGTAGGGGCCTGTGACAGGTGGGCACACGACACTCCGTTTCTTATCATGGGGACCCCACCAGGGCTCTGGGGCAGCACTGGGCCCCCAGGGGCCAAAATCCCTTTTTTCCTTCTTCCTAAGACACCGCCTGTATGGGTGTGTGCATGTGTGTGCGTGCGTGTGTGTGTGAGTGTGTGTGTGTGCAGGGACCAGCGGTGGTGGTGCWGAGGTGGCTATTAGTCACCTGGGGTGGGGGAAGAGCCCTAATTCCCACCACTACCACCACCACCATGTCCTCCCTCTGCCCACCCTTGGCCCTGTGGCTCCTTGGTTCACCTGAAGCCCCAGGGGCTGGCCTGCTGACCCCAGGGCACCACTGGCTTCAGCCTGGCTACCTGCCATCCCATGGGGTAGGGCTGCCACCCTGTGCCCACCATGGGACACACGCGGCTGGTCTTGCCCTCGCTACCCTGACTCCCCAGCCACTCTGGGATTTTTACTTGTTTAGTGTTTCTGTTTAGTTCAGATCTGTTTCATATATTGGAAATTTTCAGACCCAAAAGAGCAAAAAATTGGGGAGGGACGGTGTCGCTAGCCCCAGCCTACTGCTCACTGGGGATGAGTCCATGCCATGTTCCCCCAGCCTGGGCCAGGGTCCTGTCACCTCCTGTTGGAGATGGGGCCCCAGGTAAGTGCAGCCAGAATGTGTGAGGCCAAACTCAGGGGTCCTGGGGGCTCTGCTGGGCAGGCACAGCCACCTGGGCAGGGCCAGGGTGGAATGGCCCCGGCTATGCCCCTCACTCATGCCCTGGGCGACTCTGGRTGTCCAAGGCTGCTGGGTGGGCAGCAAGCTCAGACCTGAGCTAGGGCAGGTTGCAGGTGTGGATTCCAGGTGGACCGGAGGGTCAAGAGACCACAGGGGCAGGTGGGGGCGGTGGAGAGGGCCATGGAGGCTAGCTGGCCTGCTGGAGGCTAGAGTGCTCGATTTGACCTTGAAGTGCTGACCTCTGTATGGTGGGGCTCACAGAGCCATTTGCCCAGGAGTCTCTTCCTCTGCCTTGTCCAGGAACTGCCTGCAGACCCAGGCCACTCCCAGTGTGGCCAGGGACCCCCATGCCCAGACTTGAAGGGTCTGTTGCTCCCTCCGTCCATCCTGAACTCAGCTGCCCGCTCCTGTATGCACTYGTGGGCAGGCTCTCCCAAGCTGCAGTGCCGGGCACTGGGTCCCACATGGGGAGCTGGGGCTCCTCCCACCAGGCCCCTTGTTTCCATGTGGAGAGGACTTGGGGGCCCCTCATACACTGGCCCAGCATGTCTCTGCCCTCCATGGAGATCGAGTGACTTTGGAAAGGGAGCAGGAGGACCAGGGTTGGGCACCACGGGATCTAGCCTTGGCCCCTCTACCTGCCCCTTGGGGCCTGAGTCCAGGGAGACCCAAAGCCTGCATTCCTGGGGTGCTGGGTGGCTGCAGGACCACTCCTACCAGCACCTAGAACCTTCAGGCAGAGAGGTGGGCTCCCTCTGCCTGTCTCCTCCCCTTGGGCTCTTGTGGGTTGGAGTCTCCAGGGTGTCCTCTGAGAACCTGGACCAAGCCTTCTTGGCACTGGGAGGAGGCCAGGGGGCAGTAGAGGGATGTTGGGTGAGGTTGAGCTTCGCCCTGGTTTCTCTGAGTTTTTCCTTCATCTGCCGCCCCCACCCCCCGATTTGCACTTTAATTTGACCATCCCTGGGGACCTTTGGGAGGTGGACCCACTTGTCCTGGCTGTTGACAGAAGGGCTCTCTCTCTCTCCCTTCCACTCCAAAGTGGGCACGGTCCCCCACCCTGGGCCAGCACAGGGAGGGTGCCACTGGCCACTAGAGGAGGTGGTGGCCGCACAGAATGCCTGACCACTGCTCGGGCTAGCACAATGTCCTGTGACCTCTGTCCCTTAATTGTTTATAATCGCCGTCTGTTTTGTTCTGGGTAAGGAAGGCAAGAGCTATAGGTAAAACTTAAATAATAATAATTAAATGTGAATGGGTTCTGAGCTCTCCCTGTGCCCCAGGCGGGCCAGGCCGAGCGTTTTGCACTAATGTGTCCACAGGGGACATGGTCGGGAGCGTTTGCAGACGTGCGTGGCCRATGACTGTACCTGCCGGGGGCGCTCCCTCCGCATCCTGAATGTACCGCGGGGCAGGCGGGCGGGCGGGCAGCGGGCCTGGGCTCGGAGGGGCCTTCCAGAGTGCCTTAGCATCTTTTGATCATTTTTCCCAAGGAAAACCAATTAAGAAAACCGGACCCTCCCCCCTCCTTTGTTTACAAGATGACTAATTCCAGAATCGGGGGCTGTCTTGTCCTGCGCGCGTGACCCTGACTCATCCAGACCCTGTAGACCAGAGACGAGCCACTCAGTATTTATGAGATGTCTGCACCTTTATTCCCAAGCTTGACTACTAGCAATACGCATATACTATATAGAGTCTATTATAGAGCTAAGTTATATTGGCGCCTTTTCCAGGAGGACAGTCGGGACTGGACCGCATTGGAGCTGCTGAGGCAGGTGGCCAGCCTGGGGGTCCAGCCACCGCTCCGCCCTCCCCTGCCCTTCCAGAGGGGACAACCCTGGAGGCAGCTGGGACAAGTGCAAAAGGTCCAGAGGAAGGGGCCAGAGACGGGACAGATACTGTGAGCTGGGAGGGGCGGTCCGCCTGGCCGGCGCCTTGGTACTTGAATTCTGTCTTGTTTTCTGCACCAGGTCTGCTCACCGAGTTCTCTGTGGTCGCTTCAGTTTGCATCTGATTTGGTGTCTTACTTTTGCCCTGATTGTGGACGCAGCTGTGTGAGAGGCCAGCAGGGAGGGACCCTCCGGGGACCCTGCAATGCATGACTGCTGGGCAGGTAGAGGGGAACCGGCTGTGTGGTCTCATTCTCCCCCCACTGAAAACCATCCTTCCTGGCTTCCCAGTATCTGTTCAGAGCCAGAGGAGGGCTAAGGAAGGACCTAGGAGGGGCTGGTGGCCAGCTGCTGTACTGGGGCAAGCCTGGTCCTGTTCAACAGCTGGTCTTTTGGCCCAGCCTCCCCGTTGGGTCCTGCTTGGGCCCCCCAGGGGCTCTTCTTATGGAAGTGTCTTTGCCCAAGTGGGAGAAACCTGTTTGCCTCTGTCAGCAGCCAGTCCTACTGGGAAGGGGACACGGAGAAGCCTCTCAGCTTTAACTACTGTTTGAGAATGATGCTGCCTGTTCCTGTCAGCCAGCCAGCTCCGTGCGGCCACCACGTGAGCGCGCAGGGCTCGCTACAAGATGTTTCTAAAATGGCAAAGGTGTTTTGCTTTTGTTTGTTTGTTTTGTTGTTTTAAAAAAGAAGGAAAATCATGCAGAATCTAAAGCATTCAGATTGGATGACCTGCTTGTGTTCTGATCAGTTGCCTCCGTTGTTAGGGTTTTGCACACGATTGTGATTTTTATGTCAAAAGAAGCCAAAACTTGCAATACTATTTTTAGCAGACAAAAAAAAAAAAAAAGAACTAAGTATAAAATGTATAAATATTTTTGACTTGAACGTTTGGATGGCACCGGGTGCAAAGAGAACATTCATCCTTTCGACAGAATGTTTGGAGGAAAGACTTGAAGAGGAGACAGTTGTTTGAAAGGATCTGTCTGGGGGTTAAAGTAGTACTGTAACTCACGACTGTTAACTAAGGCACTGAGGTCACTCGTTGTGCTGTCCAGGGCTCCACAGAGCCAGAGTCTTGGCCGGGAGAGCCTGCTGTGTCCTTCCTGCCTTCCTCAGCCCTTCCCTGCTGTTCTCCCTAGCGACCAGACTGTTACTTTGTAGCCATGGCTGACAACATTGTATCAATAACTAAACCGACAGCAATGTGCGCAAGCGACCAGGGAACCCCGAGGGCTTCGAGCGAGCGTGCTCAGAGCCGTGTCACACGGCAGAAGTCCACGACAAAACGATGTCATCGTTAACTGTAAAGCGCTTTGTAAAATTCACATTTACAGAATAATAAAGTCAGTTCAAACCCATGTATCTTGGGCTTTGCTTGACTTGTGGGGTTTGAGGGGACTTTGAGAAGTCAGGGAGGGGGCGGGCTGTTGGGACCAGGCGGCCAGCCCTCCAAGAGGGTCCTGGTTTCAGGATCCGAGGCTGCTGGAGCCCCTAGAGAGGACAGGAGAGGGCCATCCCCMGGTGAGCAGGGATCCTGTTGGGGTTCAGGGCCGCTTGACCTTACCAATGTCTTATAAGTGAGGGGAGCGGGAGGGGTGGGGTGTCCTGGGGTGTTTGTGGGGCCCTGCTCGGAGCCTACCATGACAGGAGGGAGGGCCTTTGCTGGGTCCTGGTTCTGCTGTCAGCAAAGTGGGGCTCACCTGCCACCCAACCTGTGTATGGTTCCCTCCTGCCCCTCTGCTTCATCCAGGGCTGCCCCCAGGTGGACAGATGGGTCACTGCAGTGGACAGAGCTCCTCCCAGATCTGCCTGGGAAACCCTGGGCCTGGGCTGATGGTTCTCCCGCACAAGTGGTTTCCTGGGCTGGACCAGGCCAGGCCGGGCACTTTGCTCAAATGTCCCTGGGAAGCAGATCCTGGAGCCGCTGCTTGAGTCTCACCTCAGGCCCTGGAACACGGCTTCCTGCACTTGATGACCCTTCTTCCCCAGTACCTGTGCAGAGTCTGTGTGTCCTGCAGTCCTTCAAAGGCCTTCGCAGGGGCCGCTCTGCCACCTGAGAGGTGCTTCCTAGCACCTGCTTTGCTGGAGGGAGGTGAGTGGTGGGTTTGTTGGCTCAGCTACCTACTGGGGCTCAGTGAGGGCATGTAGATTTGCTCTGTGGCCAGTCCCCAGTGGCTTCCAAGCTCCCCAGTAGCAGGTACAGCTGAGGCCCAGGGAGGATTGAGAGGCAGTTCTTGGCTAGAACCAGGAGTCCTGTGGCTCTGGGATGGCTGCCCAGCCCAGCCTAGCTCCTTCCAGGTGCTGGTCTTCCCTGGGTTTCTAAGAAGGAAGGAGCTACCTGGCATGGTAGTCACACCTATAATCCCAGCAGCTCCAGAGGCTGAGGCAGAAGGATCCCAAGTTCAAAGCCAGCCTCAGCAACTTAGTGAGGCCTTAAGCAACTCAATGCGACCTTGTTTCTAAATTAAATGCAAAAAGGGCTGGGGACGTGGCTCAGTGGTTAAGCACCCTTGGGTTCAATCCCTGGCACCAAGAAAAGTGGGGAGCTGGGCAGCTGCTGGGCAGTTGCTGCTAGGCTTCTGCCCCCAGCCTCCACCCTGCTCCTGGCCTGTGCCCTGGGAGCCTCTGACAGAAACTGGCTGAGCATTGGAGGCTCCGCTTCACAGCAGCAGCCCCTGGGGTTGAGCCCCAGCTGCCCTCCCGAACCCTTTGTCCTGCCTACAGGGAGAGGAGTGCCACGTCAGCGGGACACACTGGCTTTGTCCCCAGCCCTTTGTGCTCCAGCACAAATGGTCAGGAGCCCATGGGGGAAGAGGAGCCCTGTGCAAGGGTGAGCAAAGGGTGCCCGGGACTGTGCTGACCACCTCGTGCAGCTCCTCGGATTTCCAGGAAAGGCAGCTGCTTCCCTGGCAGGCGCAGCGGTGGCCGGCCTGCCAGCTGGATGGAGCAGGTGCATGCTGTGCTGGGAGGCAGAGCTTGACCGGTGGCCTAGGGCCACTCAGGTGTGTGGCTCTATCCTGTCTGCCAGGTAAGGACAGAACCCACCTGGGGATGAGCCAGCCATGTTTCCATGTGGTTTCCTTGTGATCGGAAGGTTCCCAAATGTGTCCCCCTCAGCAGCAGGCCTGGCCCCGGGAGCTCCAGGCTGCCCCGCCCTGGCACCCACACTGACCCCACTTGCATCCAGCCTGCAGCCCCCCGCCTCCCTCAGCCTGCCTCCTGCAGTGCAAGCAGCGCTTGTAAGCCCCTCTCTAGGAAGCAGCCACAGACCCCAACTGGGAAGGGAGGTTGCAAGGCATGGCCAAGAGGCCCTGTCTCTGGGCCTCTGACCTGAGCCCTCCCTCCCTTCCTCCTCCTTGGAGACCTGAGTGACAGAGGCCCAGCCGCGTATGCAGCTTTCTCCGCAGACGGGGATCCCTGTGCCTTGATGGTCCCATTTTTCATCAGTAGATCAGGCCCTCCCCTGGAGGCCCCTGTGACTCCCACTGATGGGGCTGAGGGGCTGGACCTCCCTGGAGTTCAAGTCTGACTTGGTGCCTATGAGCTGTGAGAGGGACACACGTCTCTCCACATGATTCCTGGCCCAGGGTGGCTCAGGGACTGGGACCCCAGCCTGGGATTGGTGTGTCCCTCTGGCARTACCCAACACTTCAGGGGCTTCACATCCATTCCTCTTACTGGCCAAACCAGAGTGTGAAAGGCCACACCCCACCCTCACTACATGGGACTTCCCCCATCCTCCCGCAAGACAGGAAGAACAGATGTCCTGTGGGAAACAGGGCACACAGAAGAGGCTCTTGGAGAACGGGGGCAGTGGTGGTGACATGAGCCAGTGCATCAGTCAGTCCAACCTCGGACACCCAGAAGACAGGTACCCGGAAGGCACCTGGAGCAGGAGCAGGCCACCAGCCCCGCCCAGCCCGCTCCCTGAGCAGCCCCTGTACGAGGTGGCCAGGTGCTGGCAGGGAGGGTCCTTGCCAGGGCTCTTCAGCAAACTGGCTCTGAGCAGGCAGGTGGAGTTTTGCAGGATCAGGATCCCTTGAAAGCAGCTCAGGTGTGGCCCAGAAGAGCCAGAATGACAACGGCCAAGGGTGGCCCAGCTCCTGTGACCAGGGATGGCGGGTAAGCAGTGTGTGGCCCAGCCACCATAGGATTGGCCTGGAGCACCTGCTGCAGGGTGGCTGGGCCTCGAGGACATCATCACAGAGGACAGGTACCGAGAGATCCACCAGGCCACAGAGACAGGAAGTGGAAGGGAGGGTGCCGGGACTGGGGAGGGGCTGGCAGTCAGTTTATGGGGACAGAGTTTCAGTTGGGGGGATGAGAGCACCTAATGCTGCTGAATTTGAAGAGGGTTAAAACTGAACACGTTATGCCCTGAATATTTGAGCAAAAACACGCAGCCACGAGTTGCTGAAAGACTGGGTGCATTCTGAGAACTCGTCGCTGGCTGGTTCTGCCTGGTGGGAGCTCCAGAGTGCACTCAGCCCAGGCGACCTGCCCGTCACCAGGGGTGCCATCACATGGGGCCAAGGGGCACAGGCATGTGGGCTAAGATGTGACTGCAGCATGACCACGTGGACACACCTGTAGAGACGGGGAGAGGGTGGACACCAATGCAGACCTGCTGCTGGAGTGGGCCAGGCCTCAGCCCCCAGGTGCCATGGGCCAGCGTCCAGCCTCCAGCCTCGAGGTCTGTCCTGGGAGTGAGCCAAGCTCCTCTGGCCTCGGAGAGGGGCTCCCCCAGCGTGTTCTGTGCTTCCCAGCAGTCCTCTGGCTTCACCCAGGGTCTGCACAGACAAAGAAGGACTCAACAGCCCAGGCCGCCCCACACCAGGGCGGGGAGTGTCCATCCAAGTTGCCCTGGTCCATTGGCCCGGAACGCCAGTTAGGAAGCAGAAGGAGCTCCCTGCTGGGGAGCAAGGGGCAGATGACCAGGGCAGCGGGCTTCTTGCGGAGCTCAGGAGAGCAAGGAGGCCCGAGCCCCTGCCCGGAGGCCTGTGTGTTGCGGGCACCCCCAAGCAGCCTGGGCGTGGAGCACACTGACCTTATGCCCCTGGGCCGTGAGCCCCACATCCCTCCCAGCGCAGGCCCATGTTCTGTCTCCTGCTGTCCTGCCTGGCTGACACCCTTGGCATCCTGCCCCTCCCCCATGGGGCTTCACAGGTGCCCCCTCCCTCAGGCTTTGCTCACCAAGAAGTCCAGTGCAGTGGGGGCATGCCCCAACACTGGAGCATGCATCTCCATGCCCCAGTCTCCCCAAGTTCAGCAAGTCGTGGACAGTACCCCTCATCTCCACCCTACTGTGTCCAAGTCGTGGACAGTACCCCTCATCTACACCCCTATTGTGGACAGCACCCCTCATCTGCACCCCTACTGTGGACAGCACCCCTCATCTGCACCCCTTCTGTGGACAGCACCCCTCATCTGCACCCCTTCTGTGGACAGTACCCCTCATCTGCACCCCTTCTGTGGACAGCACCCCTCATCTGTACCCCTTCTGTGGGCAGTACCCCTCATCTGCACCCCTTCTGTGGACAGCACCCCTCATCTGCACCCCTTCT